GCATCATGCCAACTCGCTGGCGTCTCCAGTTTGGCGTATTCCAGCCTTTTAGGTATGTATTTTCAGCTTCTTTTTTATGTAGGCAGCAGTCACGTTAATATTTTTGATTCATATTTTTAACAAAGGTTCATCACAAGAAAGCTTGCTGACGTGTACTTGCTTGAACTCAAGGGAGCGCATGGTTTTGCATAGGAGTTTCTATCTGAGCTCCAAAGGGTTTGCTTGTTGAACGGGCTGTATTAGGTTGATGTTTCCACTTGTCTCATCACAACGACAGGAAGAACCAACCTTCTTCGGATTATGATGGACGCAGCAATTATGCTGCGTCCATCATAATCCGAAGAATGGTTGCCTCGTTCAATTTCTAATAGGGCATGGTTCGCAGCATGGCACACATTGTTTCCTGCAACTCTAACTTCACAAGCAAAAAATTGCTGTATTTTTAGATGCAACAGCGCGGCGGTTTGCACTTGTGAAGAACAAGTCATCTTCCGTGCTCACGTTACTTCTGTCTATAGCGGCCATGACCTAGTGTGATTCGTGATTTGAGCTGCATAGTCGGAAGCGCGGGAGTAATGACCAATTTGTTTGAAAAGGTATTTTTAACTTGGTGACTCAAGGAGTGTCCATGTGCCTACCTTGCATCGGCTTGCAAGGTTTTGCGAAAGGAGTTTACGAGGGCGGTAGGTTCCCATATAGCGTGCAATTCGATGCGTATTGTCTGCGAAATAGTAGCATGGTTTGGCTTGGAGGCAAACATCTTACTCGGTGCTGCTGAGCATGTCCTAGTTCACTATGGACGCAAACTAAACATAGGAGCCCCTAACCTTCTAACCTTTCTCAAACAACCGCTTGAAAAAGTGTTTTTGAAAGCAGCGCTTCACTTCAGTGGGAGGTCATTTGGTCGAATTGGCGATCGGGAAGCTAATGTATACCAACAAACTCAAAAATGCCTTCTATATCGGCGAAGCGCTCTTTGAAAAAAGTTATGGGCTTCTCTTCTGCTTAGTTTGCGTTTATACTGAGCTGCACATACGGTAATTTCTGCACAGGAGTATGCGAACTTAAGCAGACCACCTGGTAAGCATATTATATTTGGTCTTATGTCATCTGAACGTTTTCGAGTGTTTTCCAAGACTACGTACCATAGGCCATATGCCACATTTCGTTTCTGAGCTATACTTCCATCGTGGATCTGAAAGACCCAGTTCTTGCAGAAAAATGCTCGCCAGTATAGAGGGTATAAGATCAACGTTTTGGGCTCTATGCATTGCTCATTATCTTGAGTTGCCACTTTATTAAAGGAAGGTGGCTTAGGCGACGTGGCGATTCGAAAGGTGATATATACCAGTGAGTTCGCTGATCTTAAATATACCCTCTATATCGGCAAAGGGTTTTCTGTAGAAAATTATGGGCTTTTTTATATCCATAGTGGAAGTGTGACCTAAAAAGGAAATCACGACATAGGTAACAACATGGTTGGAAAACACTCGAGAAAGTTCCGATATTAGAGATAGATCTAAGCTGCATGTCTGTCTGTAGGTATGTCCTGAGTAAAAAATTCTATTTTTGAGTTGATTCATACTAAACTTTGCACACACTTTGGAGCGGCGGATGCCTTTTTCGTTATCGATTGGTATCGATTTTATATTTTTGCAGTCTTGGACTCTGGAGCTGGAGTTTAGGAATCTCAGCGAGCATGCTGATTGCGAACAGTAGATAGTCTAGTAGATCTGCTCAATATAGTCTGCTTGCGGTGCTGAAACTTTACATTAAAATTTGCGTGGGTATAACGCCAGTAATGCCTTCATTTTACGCGGCAAGTGGTGGCCAGCATCATATGTTAATGCGCAAACTTTACCGCAAAGCCTCGGCATCGCAACAACACATATCGCGCTGGTTTCATACTACTCCTAAGTTCCGGAAAAGTTCCAGCACAACGCTCGAGCTGTGCTGGAACTCTTCCGGAACTTACGGATCAGTATTAACCCAATCTCAAGGAGAGATCTACTCGACTCATTAATGCCACTTGATACAACCCAAAAATTGAAAACGGATTTGCTGGAAATCCGCTTAGGGATTATTCGGCCTACTGAACCGGAAAACGTTCATTCTGCTTCTGTTTCATGATGTTTCACTCCTGTCCATTTCGCATGGCAGGCCTTTCTTAAGGTGTTTTGGTAGGCTTACGCTATGGGCATGAAGTCTCAGATCTTGCCGAAACTTTACAAATAGGCCTTTCCGGCGCTATTCGGCTATTCGGGCCCCAAAAATTTTTTTGGCATGGATTTCGCTCAAACTTGGCCTAGAGGGGTTATCTGACATGCTGATCACGAATATCACCTTTTCTCCGCAGGAAAATGCCTCCCTGCAGGGTTACGGTAGGTATACGGTAGGGGGTCAAAATCACGGATTTGCCCGAAACTTGGCCTAGAGAGGTTATTCGGCCCGCTGATGCCAAATATCACATTGGTTCTGAACCAAAGCATCATATTCTCGGGTTACGGTAGCTACACTGTAACCGGTGTAAAGCATAGTTCTGCCTGAAACGGGTGTACTACGATTCGGACGATTGTGAAGCTTTGCACACACGACCACCGCCGCGCGCTACACACCCTGCTGCGGCTTTTGCCTAAGCAAAGCACAGGGGGAGATACATTTGCCCATTTGTGATTTTGACCCCTACCGTAAACCTACCGTAACCATGCAGGGAGGCGTTTTCGTGCGGAGAAAGTGTGACATTCGTGATCAGCATGTCAGATAACCCCTCTGTGCGAAGTTATAGCGGATTTTGAGATTTTGACCCCCTACCGCATTTTGACCCACCGTAACCCAAGAAAATGACGCTACGGTACAAAGCCAATGTGATATTCGGCGTCAGCGGGCCAAATAACCCCGTGGGCCAAGTTTCAGCTAAATCTGCGATTTTGACCCCCTACCGTTTACCTACCGTAACTTCACAGGAAGGCGGTTTCCTGCGGAGAAAATGTGATATTCGTGATCAGCATGTCAGATAACCCCCCTGGACCAAGTTTGAGCGAAATCCATGCCAAAAAATTTTTGGGGCCCGTATCATCGTCCCGATGATACCCCTACCCCCGCCGCGACCCCAGGTCACGTCTGAATAGGCGTGGCCGAAGACATGCACCCCTTTACCTCTCGTACATTGGACCAAGCTCTCGTATACACGCTCTTGCTACTCGCTGTAATCTTGTTAATAAACCTGAACCACCGTCTCTTCTTTTGTGTTGTTACGGGCAAAAACCGCCCAAGAGTCTCTAGTACCCGCAATAGCCCGGATAGCCGAATAGCGCCGCCTTTTCTACGTGCTAGTCACGAATATAACACTTTCCGCACTAGAGGGTCTTCGTTTATGGTTACGGTAGATGTGCGGTAGGCGGTCAAAACCTTAGTAGGCTGGTATTCGGTCATGATATTCGGTATTCGTGATCATGTAGAATAAGCGTTATTCTACATGATCACGAATATCGTAGTATTCTTGGTTTGGAACTCGTAGAGTTGCGGCAGGTAGATGGTAAGGGGTCAAAACCGCAGTTGCATGGACTGCTGCATGACGAAGGGCAATATCTTTAGGCGCGAACGCTGTCTTATTAGCCGCAGAGCGCATAAGGCGCAGGAATTACGACGGTGAGGACACGGGCGCGCAACTTTTGCAACCGTTCAACTATTAGTGCTTCTGCGCTTTCGTCATGCAGTAGCCTTTACGTGAAGCCTTGTGCAGGGGTTATCTGATTTGGTGATCACGAACAACGCGCTCATTCCTCGTCGGAAGAGCTTGGATTTTTGGGACTCAAAGCTCTGTTCATATGCTGCAGTTTACTTCGTAATTAGCATGCTCACTTACCCTCCTGCACCAACTTCCAGCAAGCAAATCAAGTCTTGCGTTTTCCAGACCGACAGTAGGTAGTTTGGGGCTAGAGGGTCCTTCGTGCTCGGGCGTGCAAGCAGTACTCGGGCAGCCGACTGGACCCGCAGCTGGCTGCCGGAGTTGCCGGCAGAGCTGCTGCAGGTAGGTCTTCCTGAAAGGTTTTCTCGCACTTCATCTCGTTGAGGGCGATGTCAGCCTCAGGCACAGCGCGATATCCTCAGTATCTATATCATTTTGAACAGCGATGAATTCATAATTCTTTGATAACCAGCCAGAATACAAAAAAGAAGAAAAGTTATGGTACCTACTAAATGAGCTCTAACTACTACATTCCTTCTTTCACATAATTCACCAGTACCTTTTCCCGAGTTTTCAGTGCTGTAAACTTCTCTTTCCATTTCCTGCTACCAAGATTTAAGACTTTTCTACAAACACTCCATGATTTGAAACGAGGCCTCGTTTGGTTATTAGGGATAGTTCTTTTTGAGTTCGGGTCAATTTTTATTTTTGACAGCTCTAAAAATTGAAAAAAAAAACGCAAAAAGTAAAGATATTGGAATCATAAGCTACACGGTTAGCTTTATTCTTGTGACTATCTAGGAGTGCTGACAGGAATCTTTATCAAAGAAATCAAAAACCTAAAGTATTTGATGTTTGTTACTTTTTAGGTGTTTTTTTTTCTACATACAGCAACTGAAGTGTAGTTTCTGTTTTGTTTTGCATTCGCAGCACCAGTAAAACGACATGTAGCTGTGGCTCTTGTTGTTTTCTTACAATAATACTGAAAGACGCCGAGGAGGTCTGGTGAATTTGAAATTTTCGCAGTTATTCATATAGGTATTGAGGTTATCGTGCCTATTCTGACGTCGTCGCTCCTCGGCATGATGGCGTGTGAGGCGCTGTAAAATTTTCTCGCCGAGAAGTTTCAGACTACGAGCGTAATTATCCTACCATCTGCAGTGGCGCTGACGCCAGCTCTGGCGTCTAGATACGTAGCGATGGGCTGCTCGGGTACACTTGCTGCGCGCCCTTCGTGCTTCCCTACATTTCACTCTTTCATCTTCTCTGAACTTCTGGTCACCTCTACTAGTTCAATTTTCAGGTCGAGAGTATGTCTAAGAAATCAACTAAAAAAGGTGATTCCAAGGCGGTAAAGGTGGTGCAAACGCCCGAAGGCTCCCAGGTATTGAATATGTGCATGGGTCTCGGGTAACGCTGTAGTAGGCAAATGTGGGTTTCAGGAAGAAAATAAGAAGGAAATTGACAATCCACCTAAGGAGAAGATTGTTAAGGCTAAGAAGGAGCCTCGTACCACCCGAGGAAGAGCGGTGCAAGTTTGTGCAATTTAGATTATTGCAACAGACAACCTAATAAGAAAAAGATTCGATTTTCGGAAGATTGTCAAACATGACGAAATGGCATTCTGGAATGAGATGTATAAGCTTGATTTGAATATCTTGTAGTACCTACCACATTGTTAATACGTCATTGAAATTCATTAGTAGCATCATAATCTCCAGAGATACCATTGACATACCCAGGATTTCGTTAGGGGCGGGGGGCAACAAAAAAATTTTTCGGTCAAAGGCGCATGCTGTTAACCACGTGCCTCTCAAAAATTTTGCGGACCCATCACCCCGAATTTTAGAAAGGAGGATCTCTACGGCACCCGCTCTTCTTCTTTATACCCTATTTTCAGGTGTATAAGCCGCACCCTTTTTGCTCTAAACGCGAGCAGACCCAGTCGTGCCGCCGCGCATATCTCTCGCGAAGCGGTCGCCTCATCGCATGCTGCTCTCACTTACGCGCTCCATGATGACAGTCAGTCTTTTGGCGTGTTCGTCTTTAGAGTGAAAAGGGTGCGGCTTATACACCTGAAGATAGGGTAATATAGGACTAATTTGAATTTCAAAAAAAATTTTGAAAATATTTTGAATTGTCTGCAAATACAAATAAGTCACTTGCACATTTTAAAATCCATGTAAATATAGTCGTCCTCTTTCCGCTAGTCGCCTGGTGAATGATTTTGAACTTGGACTGGAGCAGGCCGGTTGCGCTAGAGCGAGGCACGCTCGGCCCTCAATTCAATCTTACGCATGTTTTCTTCCTATTTTTCTCCTGTTAAGTGATGCTTCTCGTTTTTAATAATGTTTCTGATTAGCGTTGACGTCTTGTTGTGGTTCAGCAATTTCTCAAACTGCTATACTCATTCCCAACTCTGATTCCAAGTTGGAAAGCAATGCAGAATGGGTTGTATGTAACGTGAAATTCAGCGAGGCAACACAGAAGCACATCCTACTTACCAAGAAGCAATTTTCGGCAAGAATCTCTAAGCGCTATCGCTCCGGGTTTACCTGAATTCAGAGTTGGAAAACGAGCATAGAATTATGAAAGATCATACATAACAACAACAAAAGTCGTCAACTCTGGTCTCGAACAATGTTAGAACGCAAGAAACATAAATCAAAACGAAGAAATAAGAAAGAAAACATGTGAGATTAAAATGGTTGAGGGTGCTGCGCTCTAGCGCAACCGGCCTGCCCCAGTTTAAATTCGAATTCATCCATCAGGCGACTAGTGAGGTGAGGACGACTATATGTATGAAACCCTCTGTACGCCACTGTTGAATACAAATTATCGAAGATTCTAGGTGTTTGTGAAAGCAGTGGCTTGCACTAAATAGCTTGTTACTGACACCGGTAGGCTTTTCACAAAACTGGAAAACGAAGAGCTCTTAACAGGATTCTAAAGTTTAAAAAACTTCTACCATCATCTCCACAGTCCGCTGCTTCGCCACTGCGCCACCCCTACACATTCAGAGCGGCTTTAGCGCCTCGCCTATTAGTAGGCGCGCCGTCTGTGCGGGGTAAATGCCTCATAGCTTACCCACAGCACCGTTTGGCAAATAACATGAGTAATTTTGAGATTGTCTCACAAAGGGCGGTCTCTACATCTCATTTCAAATGCCACGTTATCAGTCACCATCAGGGTCAAGCAAGAGGTGTCGCACATGATCGCTGGCTACTATCCCCCCCCCCCCTTTCTAATTGCTGTCTCAATGAGATCCCCCTGAACTATACACCTAGATAGCATTACTTGAAGTCCTGTCAAACATAACGGGCAACATATCCATAATTAGCTTGTCAGCTAGTTCACCTTTGAAACAAAGTTAATCATGTCGGAAAATGACCATTTCACTTAGGTGGCCTAGTATCTTGGAACTTCAGAATCGCTCAAATTTCGTCTGCAGGAGTTAATTGACATGATAATTATAGATATAATACTCGTTAAGCTTCGTAACACCTATGCGAAGGTAGTCAATATCTCCGTGCTTGTATTTCGCATAAGGGGGTTACCCAACAAACTGCTTACGAATATCATGCCATCACTATTATCACATTACCTAACTAAGACCCCCTCACCTTTTGACTCCTCATTACGACCTCCCAGGTGTGGCGTGCCACACCTCGCGCCTGACCCTGTCGATCATTCTTCTCTTGTAATAAGGGTATTTCAGAAAAAGAAACAAAAACCCAAGCCCATGTCGCCAAGCGACAAAATTCGCTTCCGCTCGAAGGTATTTGATCATATCTTTTCCACTTCTCAGCAAAATTTTATTGCATATTCAGACTCCATTGAGAACTTCAAAAGGGAGAATTGTAAAAGCTCCTAAACCAGTTTATCAACTGGAATTCTGATCCGGAAATCATTACCTAATTTCCTTTGTTGACTTTTTTCTTTGAATATAGTAATTAAATGGCTTGTTATCATATCTCACATCGTTATCACTTACTTTGTCATTCATTCGCTGACTAAGGAACACGAACACACTTTGCGTACTTCTAATCAACAAGTTTAAATTCTACAAGTTTCTCATCAAGACAGGCACTCTATATCAAGCGAAAAATCTACTCGAGTGTAATAGAGAACGGCAGCCAGGTATTCCTTCTCTGATTTTGCTGGAGTAGTTGCCCTGGCGTAGCATGCGGAGCAGACGATCGACGGAACACTGAAATCCAACTCTGGGTTAGTGGACAGCCTTTCCTCGGCCTTGGCTTTGCCTTTTTTTCACAAGAGAGGTCAAATTGCCTGCCGTTCTCGACTATCTGGCTGCTGAGATGCCCGAATCGACCGCCGGCAGTGCTGCTTCTAACAACAAGGAGACTAGAAACCTACTTCTCCAACTCGCTGTCCGCATGACGAGGAGTTGAACAGAATTACATTCCTTCCTTCATATGAGTGCGTGCTCATGGAGGGATTGTCAGCATCTTTGCTGTACTGCAGCGTCTCCATTGCGTTGACTTCCAGTATAAGTTCTGGAGGATTGGGACTCCTATTTCGTGCTGTTCTCATTCGGAAACTCTTGAAGAGGGTAAGCCGAAGATACTGTAGATAAAGAGAGAAATTCTGTAGACAAATTTATAGAACTGTGTTAAGCTATTCTTCATTGCGAACAGCTAGTTTGAGAGCGGAGGAGCTGAGCAAACTTCTATGCGGTGCGATCATCGCCTGAGGAATCCAGGTTCTTCTGCCAGCGACTGCTGGTGAAAAGAAATCAGAGAGGGGAGCAGCCTCCTGTTAGTGCCAGCTCATCTGCATTACTGGTACCGCTCAGTTGGCATGGGGACTGTCGGTCCATCCAGTCTGCTTCTCGACAAATTCCTTTCTGTGGAGACTGGCCACGAGGGACCGTAGATTCGCCCGCAGGAACGATTACTTTTGGATTGGAGCAGGAATCCTCCGTAGAGCACCTTATCCTTCCAACGCTGATTTTGAAGATGTGCTTACCAAATAACTCAATGTTGCGTCTTGCAACTCTACTACTGCAACTCTAATCCGTATCAAGCTTGCCGAGCCACTTTCTTCCGGCGTCCAGGCAAATCTGGACAAATGGGTATCGCCAGCGGAAACTGATTTTGGGAAACCGCGCAGAGTTACAGCATAAGATGAGTTACTTCTGACCATTCCCTTGTTAGCTCGGCCTTTTGGCATGGGACATATATATTCTAAATCAGCTTTAAACGCTGATCGCAAATATGCTATTCCTAGCTGCCGCGCACCATTCCGAAGCGAGTTATGGACTTTTTCCTGCGCGAAATTGGCATACTCATCACTCACTGGCATCACGGGCAACATCGCCTAAGTGCTAATACACTTGGCGTTCAGCTTCTTTTTAGTGGTAAAAGATTGGATTTGTGTTATTTCAATATCTCAGCAACTTTTCTTGCAAATTTTTGGCAGCTTTCCCATGTTCAGTAGTATGTCAATTTGCGCAGGAAAAAGCCCACAACTCGCTTCGGAATGGTACGCGGCAGCTAGGAATAGCATATTCGGAATCAACATTTGAAGCTGATTCAAAACGTATATGTCTCTTGCCAAAAGGCCGAGCTAAGTTAGGTAGCATTCCTCATAAGCTGTGGTTTCGCAAGAAATGCAAGAAGACAGGTCACAAGGAGAAGTTTTGGGAACAAATAGCGGAGGAGAATGCTTACTCAGCAGCATTCAAACCAAAGACACAGAAACAGTGATAGCGGTAAGTTGAAAAGCTCGAATAAAACGCGACGACATGTGCACAGCGTCGCGAAGATTGCGAATGCAACGTTGGAGGTAAACTCAACACGCTGTATATCGAAGCAAAAGGAATGGTCATCCAGTCAGTTTCCTGTTAGATACGAATCAGACATCACAGTTTTGAACGAATCAACTTGGAGAAGCATGGCGCTCCTCGGTACACAAACATGGTCCTCAAGAATGCTAGTAGAGGTTCCATGAAAGCTCACGGAAAACTATGGTGGGGATGAGATGAAAGGATCCAGGAGCGAAGGCTACGCATACGTGACGCCTCACAACCCACTGCTAGGACTTGAGTGGATCCAGAGGAACGAAGAGATGTCTTATCATCTGTGCAGAATGGTTGCTGAAGTGAAGACAGAGCAAACCAATGCTATCGCTCTGAAGCTGGACCGAACTTATCCAGAAGTATGCAAAGAGGGTTTTGGGACTCCGCACAAAGGAAAAAGCACACTTGAAAGTTGGCGAAAACGTTAGTCCACTCTTCAAGGCCTGTAGGCCTCTCCTTCATGCTGCGCTCGAAGCTGTCGAAAAGGAGTTGGATAGACTATTGGAACTGAAGGTCATAAGTCGAGTGACACACAGTGAGTGGGCAGCCCCTATCTTATGCGTCAGGAAGGCGAATGGAAAACTGCGAATGTGTGCTAATTTCTCAACTGGATTAAACAAAGCACTGGAGTTGTATGATTCCCTTGCCATTGCCGGAGGACTTATTTGCATAGCTTAATGACGGTACGGTGTTTTGGCAGATAGATCTGTCGGACGCCTATCTGCAAATCGAGTTGTCAGAAGAAGCGAGAAAATGGTCGTAATGAATACGCATAGAGGATTGTACCAGTACAACAGACTGCCTTCTGGAATAAAGACAGCACCGGGGATCTTTAAGCAAATTGAACAAGATGATGAGCGGATTGTGAGGGGTAGCAACCTACTTGGACGATATACTGGTATGCGAAAGAACCCAAGAAGAACCCACGGAGAACTTGTTAGCTGTTGCAAGGATCGCCGAGTACAGAATCAGAATTCGCTTGGAAAAATGTTCTTTTGGTAAGCCAGAGATACAACATTTTGGCTTCATAGTGGATACGAATGGCAGAAGGCCGAACTTGGAGAAAAATCGAAGCAATTAAGAATATGGATGAGTCGAAGAATGTCGCTTAATTGCGGGCTTTTCTTGGCATGATAACGTAATATGCGGCGTTTATGTCAAAGATTAAAGACCTGCGTGGACCACTAGGCGCGATGCTGAAGAAATATGCGAAGTGGAATGGACTTAAACACACCAAGAAGCGTTCGAAAAACTGAAGGAGACTCTATCGAGTGAGATGAACCTTGCTCACTATGATCCAAAGCAGAAGATTGTTGTGGCAGCGGACGCCAGCGACTACGGAATTGGATGCGTGATATCGCACAGATATGCTCTGATGGATCCCAGAAACTAGTTGCACATGCATCGCGTTCCCTTACGAAAGCGGAGAAGAACTATTCTCAGATCGAAAAGGAAGCGTTGGAAATTGTCTTTGCAGTCAAGAATTCCACAAGTACATATTTGGATGTAAGTTTCTACTTTCGACGTACTATCAACCATTGTTAGCCGTTTTCGGTGATAAGAAGGGAGTTCCAGTGTACTTCGCCAACCGACTTATGAGATGGGCTACAATTCTTCTTGGATATGACTTTGACATAGAATATGTCAAAACCACGAAGTTCGCAAGCAGATGGCTTGTCGCGATTGATGACATAAGAATCAGAATCCTGAAGATGTCTCAATACAATACCGCTCATAATTCGTCAAAAAAGTCGCCAGACTGCGGCGGACTCGGCCGGAGTGCGGCAGAGTGCGCCACTCTCCACTAGAGTCCGCCGGAGAGCAGCGGAGTGCGCCGCACATCACTAGAATCCGTCGGAATCCGCGTCGCATCGCCATATCTTGCTTCAGAATGGACGAATTCTGAATCCGGAGGACACCATTCGATACAGCTCGGCGAGACGCATCATCTAGTGTATAGGAGTGCCACAATCTAGCAGGATATGATAGGTATACCCTAGACAGTAAGTTTTCGCTCAGTTTTGCAGTTTGTAGTTTGGTTGGATTGTTCAGTTGGCTGACAACAGTATTGCCATTGATTTGTCGCTGATGACACATAGAAAGTATACCGGAGGAGTATAGTAGCGAGTCACACTGATCGAATTTGTTCTAAAATCTGCTCAAGATCACAATACCGCTCACAGAATGTGCAATCCGTGAACTTCGCGTAATTCCGGGATTTAAGCTCAAGACCGCGACATTTTGGGAATCCCACGACACTCCAGCAATCCGCGAAATAACGGATTTCACGCAAAATACGCAGCACCATAACTTCCTTCGGAATGAATATATTCTGAATCAGGAAACAGCATTGTGTTCAGATCATCAAGGCGAATCTTTTGATGTACTGTATGCCCTCGATATTCCGTTTCCAGTTTTCTCGAATTTTTCTGTGGAGGTCCCTTCGCAAGAATATAACGCAAAGTCTGTGTATTATAAAAGATTCCAGTGAGCAATGTTCGATAGCATTGCTCTTGTAGGTTATCGTGCGCTAAGTAGTAGCCGCAGACTTCTTTCCAAAAAAGGTAGAAGCGCCGGTGAATTTTGAAAAATCACGCGTTTTTAGATTCTACTCGCCATAACTTCTTTCGGAATAAGTATAATTTAAATCCGAAAACAGCATTGTGTTCAGATCGTCAAGGCGAATCTTTTGATATACAGCATGTCCTTGATATCTCGATTTCAATACTCTTAAATCTTTCTGCGAAGGTGTAAAGCAGCGAGCATTGTCCCGAATAAATTCCGGCAAGGACCTTTCGATAGTACTTGTACTATAGATTATGATGCACTAAACAGTAGCCGCAGATTTCTCTTCAAAGGAAATAGAAGGGCTGGTGAATTGTGGAAAAATCTTGTCGTCCTAAATTCTACTCGCCATAGCCCTGGATTACGAAGCTCTTTTGCTAAGCAGATGTGATTATCGTAATGAGCAGGTCGGATAGCCTCTATGAGGAAGTTTCCGAGATGTCCGGGTTATTTCATTTTTTTCCCGTTTTAGGCTTTGGAAGCTCGCCGATGGATTTTGGTCAAAATGTTGAT